TAAATCATATATTATCGCCGGACAAAGGCCGACACGGGTGCTGACTTTGAATGATCAACAGCTTGATGTAAAGTTTCTTGTCTCTGAAGAGTCTTAGTAGCCGCCAGCTCCCGGATTTCTTTTATATTTCTTAGGCATCGTGCCAAATCGGAGCTTGTTAACGGAGAATAAATCTAACCCTCAGCAGTACCAGTAGCGTGTACAAAAGCTATTCCTTTATCACAACAGTTTTCTTTTCAGTCTTAACTATATCACCCGGGCCCAGTTGTCTTTTACAACGTTAATTATGCCTAAGTTTGTTCGTTAAGCATACGAACGTGAACATTACTATTATTTTGTAAAACCTATTTTTTATAGTTATAGTTCCCTTGATATTTCAAAAAGGGGGAGGGGGAGGGGGAGATTATTCCACCGTTCCCTGCTTACAAGAAGTTAATGTTCGCGGGCTACATTTACACCCCAGGAGTCTTCATCAACCGGCGTGACTTTGCACGCAACATTTTTGATAGGCCAGGTAAAAAAAACATTAGACATGTTTTGTGGCACGAGAAAGGAAGGTTGGGAGAAAGATCATCCAAGGCACATTTACCTTTTTTTTTTTTTTAATTTGAATCTCACTTTCATTTCAATGGGGGGGGGGGTACCTGTGTTGCTATAGAAATGGAATTAATAGGATGTAAATCATAATGAATGAACAAACCCCTCTGTTGTATAGTTTTTGCCGTTTGAAAACCCATGGGTTCATCTTCCGTGATCCAGGAGCGGATGTCGTAGGCATTTTTAATGAACATTTTAATGAACAAAGGTGCGCCAATAAATCAGTTTATGGGGAATTTACTCTCAAACAACACTGAGGGGTGCGCACATTTCGTCTCACTCCAAGTGAAAGTGAAATCTGCCAAGCCTATTATAATAATTCTAATGATATTAGTTGCATGCATTTACATGGCGCATGTCCAAGCTCTACAGCATGCTCTATGTGATTTACAACATTTATGACCCAAGCAGACCCTAGAGCACTCAGAAATATTCTCGACTTCCCGGGAAGAATACAGTGCAAGCAGCCGAATAAGTGTTCAAATACTAACAAACTGGCAAGATTTTTCCCTGTCAAAAGTCCGAAAACCCATTCCCAGCAATGAGAAGTGAGGAAAATTCTCGCACAGCGCCTTTCCAAAGGATACAACGTCGGGTCCCTGACGGGATTCGAAGCCACGACGTTTTGGTTGAGTGTCCCAGAACCTAACCACTTGGCCACCGACGCCGTCGGCTTCGGTTTGAAACCAAACCAGACAGGAAAAGACTTC